CCTAGTGCATTCACAGATATTTGGCAACTCTTTTGGTTTTCTTAAATATCATAAAGACTAATGCTTGGATTGTGTCATAACTTCAGTCCACCCAGCAGACACCGAACACAAGCTCTGTGCCTGGCGGTGTTTTTTTGTTTGCTAAAAGTTACCTACGCAGTGGAGACCTGCAGTGGGTTGCTAATGGGTTGAGCTGCTGATTCAATCCAGGCTAGATGTTTTGTCACCATACCTCACCCTTTCTGCAACCCCCACAAGTCAAAGTCTCACCGGAGGTTCAGTCGAAAAATACAATATGTAATAAATAACGAAGTGCAGTCAAGTCTCACTATAAATAAAGCAGGAGTTACAAATGTGTTCTGCATTCTAATAATAAACCAGCAACTTTAAAATGCATTATAAATACATTAAAAAATACAAATATATTTGTTCTGCATCAGTTCACAGTGAAATCGGTATCACGTAACAAACAATACATCTTTAAAGCAATGAGGTACAGTTAGCTACTGAATGTGCTATAATTAAAACTTACTCTGCGGATACTGTGGATGTATCGGGTATAACTTGATATTAATTCCACCTCCCTTTAAAGTGATATTGGCATTCAGAAAATTCAATATTCAATAAATGCTTAAAGAGCGTGGACATGTTATTTAAAAACCAACAAATACAGATCTCTCTCCAAGCTCCAGAAGGCACTGCATATAAATATCAGACCAAATTGGCCATACCATTGGAAAGGATTAATTATTTGGACTTCTCTAGCTCAAGATTATGCTTTAATTACAACACTTCTGCATTATTGAGCAAATTCATTAAGCAGCAGCGACATTCAGTCCTGTTATCACTGTATTATTGCCGGCACCAATATACATTTTCTATTCTGTCAGTCTTGTACTATAGGTTGAAGAGGTAACAATAAGGCTCCAGGGATTTTTTACTGAGTTCATTACTCAGTCTTGTGGCTCACAACAGTTTCGCCAATGTGGATGAGCACCCAGCATGCAATAAATTGACATATTTAAAGACAGTTTCTATTAAATTAATAACACATACGTTTTGTAAGGCTACTTCCTTTTGCTCTGTTTTTATTCCTTCCCTGCGTGCATGTAGGTGTTGATCCAGTCAATCACTGTTTCCAGCTCGCCAATGGCCTTATACACTCCTTGATCTGCCATCTGTCAATAGATAATGACAGGACACACATTTGAAACATGATACCCTCCTTTGATGTAGGACCAGACTTTCGTCTTTTTTGCAAGACACAATCAATTTCCCAGTACTAGTAAATGCCACCTTCCATAATCTCTCATATCGCAGCACTCCTGTGCTTTCCTAACATTGCAGGAAATGTGAACTCCTCCTGGTGGTTTTAAAGACTGTAATACCCATCATCCAGTAGGTGTCACTACTAGCCCTTTTATTCCAGTTACTCTCATGACAATTTCATTTTGAACTGGATCACAGCAAATACAGTCAGCTCTAAAACCCTTAGCTTCAGAGCCAATTATCTCTGCTGTAAGTGACTGAGAAAGCCAACCAGGTACAATCCAATGGCTCCCAACAACAGTCTGTCTCTCAGCTCCTTGAGCACATGATTAAACTCTACTTACCTCCTTGTATCTCTTCTTCATTTTGTTCATCAGTTTGCGTTCTCTTGAAGAACATATGCTGGGATGTAACCTCAACTGCAAGAGAGACATTGAGTTTTATCATCACCCATGAGTTACCCAGGGCTCTTCCACTCAGACCATTGCACGCAATTGTCATTAACAAGACCATTTGAAAGTCGATCAGACATTCTTAATACATCCATCCATTTCCTAACTGCTTTTTCCTACAGTCAGTAACTGGGGAGCTGTGGCCAATCCCAGCAAGCAAGGCAGAATACACCCTGGAAGGGACACTGGTCATTCACAGCAGTCGCACAGACCGAGACACATGCACACTTACACTAGGGCAAATTTTCCCAGAACCCAATTAACCTACCAGTATGTGTTTGGACAGATAGGGCCCCTGAAAACCGAACTTAGGGCCCCAGTGCTGCAAGGCAGCAAAGCTTACCACTTTGTCACCATACTTAATGCATGCAGTCCTTCAATAAAACTAAGAACAGAGAGCAATAGTGACAGTATTGTCACAGATTGTATTGTCATATTCTTGGTAAGGGCTGTGCCAGGCCAGATCCTATTTCAGAAGCACAAGCACAAGATGCAGCTACACCTTGGGCAAGACACCAGTACATTGCAGGGCATGAACTTGCATGCTTATGTACAGGGACAGCTTACAATCACTTACAATGACTTAACCAGTGCCTCTTTGGAAGGTGAAGGGAAACAGAGGTACAAACCCAAAGAGAATATGCAAACTCTAAACATAAACTCCACACACTCTGGAATTTGCCCAGACTTCAAGAGCTACCTGCCACTCCACCTTTAAACTACTGAAAATCAATTGTTTTGGACTGGCAAATTAAGAATGGTGACAAAACATTGCTCTGATGTTCCTTACTTCACACTTTCAAATGAATGACATACACTATACGCTACACTGATCTAACTACAGCTCTGGTATTACTATTAATGTTAAATAGAAGCAAAAGTGTTTTCAGTTCTTTCAAAATCTCCAGTTAACAGTAACTAGATTTTTAAACTAAAACAACAGTTAATTTTTTTTGGGGGGGTTATGTTAAAATACGTACAGCTGATGACTTCCAAACGAATACTGAATACTCACACAGTGTCCAAGATCTTTGTCCAGTCTTGTCAGGTAAATTACCAAATTGTCAGCTTTTAAATCCACTACCTCCACTTTTTTTAAAACATCCTTGAGATAGAAGTCCAATATTTCCTTCAAAATGGGGATTCCATGTGGGTTTGGTCTCTGACAAAAAAAACACAGCTTTTTAAGTCTGAGGAAGAGGTAGAGTTTAGAGATAGAGGTTCATAAACCTGTAAAATTGTGTCATGAATGCACCAAATTGATTTTATCTTTACCTTCAACGACGGACCAAATTTCGGCAAAAGCTTTCTTTCTTTGATGTTATCCCTCTGCAATAAAAAAAACAGAGTGAACAGGTGAGGTACTGTATATTCATACATATCCTCTTTAATGTATTTGAGAAACGTTTTTATACTAATTTAGCGCTACATCAAATCGCGCATTCGCCTTTACTTACGGGGACGGAATATTTTAAATTAAGAGACATTTCGAATAATTCTTTCAGCATCTTTCCAGGCAGGTGATTCTGGAGGCATTTCTGACCGGCGATGCCTGTGCCTTTGGCTTCGCAGATGCGTTGCCACGCCATAGCAGAAAATATCAGCGCAGCCGCAAAATGCGCTTTCATCCTCTCTGATCTTGAGTGTCAGTGATGAGGTCTCTGCGGGTTCTGCAGCGCACCGCCAGTCGCCTTGTGTTCTACTGTGAACTCTTAGGATTAACGGAAGGTACACATCTACCACAGTACAGTACCTTCGTCTTTTTATAGACCTGATTTCGCTTTCTAAAAAAATTCCCACACTTGTGACGTGGTGTTAGATACTGTAGGTAGAGTCTCTTACCGGCATTCAACGTAAAAATTTCCAAGAAATCCCCACATGAAGCTGAAAAGCGGCTACAAAAAGCCTACGGCTATGGATTTTAGGATCTTCATTTATAAAGTGTTACGTGGTTAAGTGGTTTGCTTTCTAGTGAAAGCGCGTCTTACTGAATTTTATGTTTGAGTTTAAGTTATCTCGTGAACACGTTTTCCTCAATATGTACATAGAAAGTAAATAGTAAATCCACAAGTGAAAGCCAAAGCTTCCAATTAAACAAAGTTTTCAGGTGATCTAGTGAAATCTAGGAAATGTTCTGAAGGTTCCTGGTGTCTGACGCCCAAGTAACTGACAGTGACAAAAGCAGACATTACAAATGTCTTTCTATCTGAAAAAAAAAATCTGTAATTTACTGTAGATCAGTCGTAAAGCAAATTCAGTAATCTTTCGCTTCTCTACCTCACCAATATGTTAAGCATTTTGGGATCATTTTGGATGAAAAGCAATATTTATCCAAATATCAGTTGGAAGAAATGTGTGTTTGTGGATGTCGCAGATGCAAACATGAATCACACAACAAACAACTCCCAGTTCAGTGGCATGCTGTGGGAATGTGGCACGCACAGCCATTACCAGAGAATCTCTAGTCCCTGAATTCTCCATCACTGCACCCATGATTGACCAGCTCTGCTCATGCAACAACCCAGGTACAGTAGGTCCACCTGAGGGATCCTTTCTGAATCACAACAACTAGTTTCACGGAAAATACTGGACTTCACTGAGGACTCCTTAGCCCAATATCTGTCAGGAGGTAACCTGGGACCTCTGGTACAGTATCCAAGTAAACCTGCAATAGATTCATCGTGAGACTCTGTGTCACAGGTCTACACAACCGTCATTACAACATGGACAACAATCCATCAGAGAGCATCAAAGTACAGTGTTTCCTCACTAATCACGGTTCTGCCATGGCTGAGCTCCCTACAGTATAAATACAGTATACGAAAAACCACAAAGTGATTGCTAAGAGAACAAACAGCAGGCTGATAGTGCACCAGGGCATTATTGCCAACTTTATGACTTGACTTACTGTTTTCAATTTCCCTACAAAGTGTTACATTGGCAACATTTTCAGAGCTTTGTAGGCAAAACATCATGCCTTATTATAGCGAAGCCAGTGTTAGCATAATCACTTTATATTTCCGCATGAATATGTTCATCCCCACTCAAGAGTCACTGGGTAATTCCTGTTTAAATCTGGAATCAATGACAGACCACTGTGTCACCTGGTCTTATCTGATTAAGACATGTTGTGCCACAAGACCAGTCCTCTGCCTAGCAGGGTTTTACACTGTCTAGATCTTAAAGTAGGGCAATGTCACGTCTGTGACTCTTTCAGCACACTGAGCCCTGTTTCACTCTCCCCCTCTAAATTCCTCTTTCTCTTTCCCTCGGTGGCAGGGAGATATCAGCCTGACAATCTGAGTCACCAGAGTTACAAATCCAGCTCACCCTGCTCTCACCAGGACTCGACCACCTTCGCCAGCAGGTCCAGGGCACGCATAACGCCCTCCCTTGACAGCAGATGACCACCAAAGGACCAGTCCTGTGCCTCAGCAGAGTTTTACTCTGTCTAGATTTCAGAGGTGGGTGATGTCACTTCTGTGACTCGCTCTGCGTACTGAGCCCTGTTACACATTGGAAAAGATAAACACTTTTAGAGAGACTGATAATTTAAAGGCATTTTATGAACTCAAAAATAAGTTATGTGATATACGGGCCTTGAGATAAGTATGGCTATATTGAGAATAAAGATTTTTAGAATTCATGGAAATTTTGATAGGTATTTTTAAAGAGGGCTATTTTCATATTTTAAACTCCGAATACTGTACACACTCATCCCAGTGTTTTGTTTTTTGCTGTCAAAGCTTTTAACAAAGTTGTTACAGTGAGGTGCAGCAGAGCAGCAGTCAGCAATATCTGGATGAACGCCAGTGACATCGACACAGAAACGTGGCAAAAACATGAACACAATTCAGCATTTTTCATCAAAACGCATATCTGGAATTTGCATGACTCATACTTGCATTGGGCTAAATTTTGCATTGCAATGCCAAATTGTTACATAACTAGCTTTTGAAGAAGATAGTATGAACTGTTGGCCTTCAATGGGTAATTGAGTAGGAAGCATAGCTAATACCTCAGTAAGTATCTCTAACGAGGTCACTGCTCCTCTTATGATTCATTTGAGAGAGAGGGCTGACCCAGATAATTTAAATGAAGGAATTAATTCCTTCACTTCACTGCGACCTAAAGCTTCTACTCCAGACAGAAATCAACTTCTACAAGTTTGCTCACAAATGCAATGCAAAAGTAAAAAAAACTTTGGCAAGTGTCATAGATAATGAAATATAAAGAAATAATTGCAAAATTTTTTCAGGCCGTGGTACAATCAAAAACAAAATGTTTGCACTCAGAATCGAGCTCTTCATCAGGAACTGAGCTTACTCTCGGCTTTCACTCAGGTCCTTCATAAAATTTAGAGGTGAGCTGTCATCCTTGCAACGCTCTCTGGCTTTTGTCACTGTTTCTGTAGCAGTTTGTTTCAATTTTACAGGGTCGGGCTGCTGACCCGACGACCAAACCTCCTCCTTTCTCAGCGCGGGTTTGGGACCAGCCATGGCGGAGATAGTCACAGGAGAGCAGGTGTTGAAATAGTTGGAAAAGGCAACAAAAACATGATATTGTAGATGGAAATACACATAAAACCGTATCTGGCAGATATTCTAAGTGACACCGATAAAGATGATTGCACACACTTCGGTTCCCTTTACATGTCAGTGTGAGATATAGTCCAGTCTCACATGTTCTCAGCTGCTCTGAGGGACAACACAAGCAAGCAGGTCACTGAGTGAATGTGGACCTACTCTGTGAAGAGGTTTGGTAAGGTAAGAAGATAAAGGTTTGTCAATGTGAATTGAAAATGAAAGCATGGCCAGGGATCATTCAGCTTATTTTCCCTAACTCCTCAATTCAGTCCATATTCCACACTTTTTGAAGGACTTTTTGGCTTGCCTTAAAACGGGACTCTGAAAAACAGACACTGAAATTGCAACTCGGTCCCTCCAGAGGTAAAATGGGTTTGTTTCTTTGCATCACAACCACACTGTTATAAAACTAATTATCATATGAAAACTTCAGGACCACAGGCCAAAGTCTTCTGTATCAAGGTGAACTGAGCATCAGCATTACTTTTAACTGCAAAAAATTCAAAAGGTTATTAGAAGAAAAATGGAAAAATGTTTTTTTGCAACAGATTGACATTTTATTGAACAAAAATGACATATAGTACAGCAGGTAATTTATTACACTGATTAATACTGTAGTTGTTGAAAGGATCGATCAGCTGGGGGTTCACTGTTAAATCACAGGACATGAGCAGAGTAGCGCTGTGCAGCCAGGTTGACCTCAACTGCAGCAGGTGGTGTTCTGAAGGGACAAGACACTCCTGTCCAGACCATCACACTTTGATCTCCCCATTGATTGGTCTGGTGTATACATCAGCTAGAGCATCATACTGCGCTTCTGTGGTACAATCACTGATGTCTATTTAGGTCACTTACATAAACCTTGATTTATCCCTAGAGAGGATCTGGTATCACTGCAGGCAATTTTAGTTTTATTGGAACGCCTGAAGTTTTTTTTCCAATACACTGAAGAAACAGAGGCTATGGGGTATCGCACGTCCTTTTTGTAAGAATTTTCTGTTCTTTCCATCTTAGTCTTTCTTGATTTTCAGTGGATTTGATATTACAAAGGTTACATTTCCTCATCACCTCTGCCCATTTGATTCTCTCATGTAAGAAGCGATTTAGTGCTTATGCCATGCTACTTGGGCACAGGCCCATAAACTATGAAGATTTCCCACCACAGATTCACAACTCTTTCCCTAAAGCTACAACAAAATATACAGTATCTTCAAAAGTGGTTTAACAGGTCTCATTCCTCTCTATTATTAACTCTTTCTTCACAAATTTCTTAGTTAACCCCTTCATCCTTCATCACAAGAGGGTCACAGCAACATTTATGCTCATATCCCATGTCCTAGTGAACATTTATGCTGATTTTAGGTGATATTATAAGAGCAGTAAGACTGTAAGCTCTTAAAGGAGTGTAGGTTTTGAGAGAGAGTGGCCTGTTCAATTACAGACAACAGAAAACTGAAATTGATGGTGATAGTGTCATTAATACACCACTGTGACTTCCCCCAGTAAATCTTTTAATTGAGCACAGAATCTCATCCATTCATCTATGATTGACAGCTTTAGTATTGTCAGGTAAGCCTTTAATTTTCGCATCAGATCTCACTTTCCAAGACTATATGATTGCATTGAATTTTGCCTTATTGATATTTATATTGTGAATATTAACAAATCCGGTGTTTTTCTCATTGTTGATTATTATTGTCGTTCACCACAACATGAAATCCATTGTCCTCAAAATAATTCCTGCTTTGCATGTAGTGTATCAGCCAACGTGACTCTGCAGCTGAAAGTTTCTTTGCGCTTATTTCTGGAATAAAGAGCAAGGTCTGTCAGAGTGGAAATAGTGAAACAGAAGCACAAGGAAAAGAAGGGAACTAGAAGTAAGTGTAAACACAAACACCCAAACGTATTCTCACTTAAATATTGTAACCATATGTACAGGGCATGTGAATTGAATGTCCCCAAAAAGGAGAAAACCGCTAATGTTGGCCTCAAAGGAAAAAATCTTGGTCAAGTGACCTTACTTATCAATTAACCGAATGACTCAGCTATCCTACACCTACAAATACGTGACTCAGGGTAGTGCTGTTCATGCTAACGTCCCCATGCGGAAGAGCTGGCCAACTTGTAGGTGGAGCTGGTATTAATCTGTCTTTGATCTATAGGATGTGCAGCCATTGTTTTAGGTTAAGAATACTTTGTTTCCCATGAACAAAGAAATTAGCAGCTTCTTTGATCTGGCAGGAAAGAGAGGCAATGATAATTCCGAGGTTCTTAGTTTTTAACATGCTGAGAACTATGGCAATAAAAAGGAGATGTACATTTTCTTCGTAGATGCCCAAATCATCCCTTCACCATAATTCTAAGGTAAAAGACCAATACATGAAGGTAATTCAAACCAAATCGAATTGATTATTCAAAGTTTTTCCTTGATACATTCTACATGTATGATGTTGGACTCATGAGCTGTAATATATTGATTTCCAGCCCCGGGCCTGGAGGAAAACTCTGTCTGCTGGTTTTCATTCCAGCTGAGCTACATCTGCACTGCTAACCGATGACTTCATTGATCTGCTCGCTTGTTTACAATTTTGTTTTTAACTTGTGTGTTTGGCCATTTCTGAGTTTCACAAATATCCAATCGTACTGTTTCCAAAGAACTTCAGCGTAAAGAATGTTACGCAACTTGTGGTTATTTCTCCCTAAACAGGTCTCACTTGTTGGTTGATTTACGATGACCAGATCCAGACGGAAATTCATCAGCAGCTCCCACAGAGAGAGCCTTTTCCTTCTGCAGAGGTCTAGTCCGTCACATTTCAAACAACACACCCGAATGAGGGCAGTTCTGAAAGTCAGAAATTGGTACAGGGTTGATACCAATTACAAATCCCATTAGAACCTTTAAGAGCTCAAAGAAAAATGTATAAATATGCACCTGTCACGAGCTGTATTCCTATGAGCAACTCTCGCTGCCAACACCCACGCAGTTATTAATCAATTGTCATTCCTCACGCTCTTCCCTATTTATACCCTCTCACTCCACTCAGTCCCCGCTCAGTATTGAGAAGGACTCTTCGGCTTTCTCTGGTGCGCACTACAACTCTCGACCTGATTTTTGACTACCCGACCTTGTTTCCTCCTGCTTCAAATCCGTCTCGCTTCTCATTTTGGATTTGGATTCACTTGACCTGACTCTTTCGGCTACCCGACCTAGTTCTTTTGACTCGACTACTACTTTTTTTACTTTGGCCTTTGGGATTTGGATGCCAATCGGTAGCAATAACCTTCTGTCCCAGCGCCAAATAGGGTCCAACCTGGTGCCCCTAACGCCTTCTCTGACAGCACCAAATGGAAGACTGAAATCAACTAGCCTGTGATTAAGAGCTCGACTGGAGCAAGAACCAGAAGACACAAAGGAATAGATCTGGATCCACTACTGCAATATATTCTGTACCCAATCCTGTGACCTCCTGCTTCAGCAAAAATCTTTTCTTCAGTGTTTTGGATTGACTGCTGTACTGGTCTTGCAGCTTAAATAGAGAAGAAGAGAAAAAAAGAATAAACAACAGTTGGTTATTTTTACAAAAAACTCTTAAGGGGGAACTGCAACTCTAGTTTTATATTTTGGGGTTAAAAAGAATCAGCATTGATGAGTTCATTTCGAACCACAATAAAGGTAAACTGTACACAGTAACTTGTAAAACCTCATTTTCACATCACAAAACAGAAAAAAATTCCAGGTATGTACAGCACCATGTTCTGTGATTCAGAATGAGACAACAAAACTTCCAGTGAGGTGTTGCAGCCCTATGACATTGTAAAGAAGCAGGCTTGTGAATACATCTCTTTTAATCCAATAGAAATGTTGCTTTCAATTTTGAGATGATTTTGCCGACCAATACTACTAACTTGTTAAATCTGCACACAGATCACATTGGAATGTTTCTGCAGTGAGATATTTGCTGCACAGCCTGTACTTATTTGTTTGTATATTGCATTACATTAGTCGTTATCATCCTGCAGCTCACAACTGGCAGCCCACTGCAGCTAAGCAGGTGTGAGCCTGGTCAGTACCTGGATGGGAGACCTCCTGGGAAAAACTGAGGTTGCTGGTGGAAGAGGTGTTAGTGGGGCCAGCTGGGGGTGCTCACACTGTGGTGATGGGACACTATACTGTTGCAACGCTCCATGGCATCAAGGCATCATGGCCATCTACTGCAACCAAGGAAGTCTCCAGTCGTAATGACTACTTATACCACTGGACCCAGGCTTCTGAGGTTGAGAGAGTGGGACTGCCCCAGTGCAACGGCTTTCCCACTTCTAAAAGCTCTCCCACACAGGTTTCTTCATGCAGCTCACCTTCCAAACAGATGAGCTGCACAGAGTACAACCGTCATCGTCAGACACGACGGACAACCATCATTAGTCATTATAGTAACTAGCGAGCAGGAAGGGCCACTTCATGTCACCATTTGTGGGAACTCAAATTTGCAACAACATGGTGACTAACAGTACTTTTATGAAGTTCACAATTCTGTGCTTAATTTGAAATTCCTAAAAAATGTTAATGAATATATTTTGTTACCAAGATTTAATAACCGGTCTGAGAAATTGGGACTGCAGGTCCCCTTTAAGTCAAGTGAAAATGTACATTTCCCCATAGCTGCTCAATCCTTATTGCGTTATTTTAGAATTGCCTGTTCTAAAAATTGTTTTTAGCAACGGACAGTCCCACAGCATGCAAATATGTAGTTTATGCTACACCCTTCATACACTGAAATTTTCCTGAAGTCAGTGGAACTACCAGGAACTGCTTATTGGAGACAGAGAGGCAGGCAGATTATGTAACAGCTCCTTTTAATGCCTGAGGTTTCACACCTATTGTAATATTGAATGGACTTCCTGACTGGGATTTTCTAGCAGCACATGTGCAATGTCCTTGTTTTTTTCTCTTTCATAATACCATCGCAGGCTGTATTCTCTGGACAGTCATCTTGTTGGAAGATACATGATATAAGAAGATTTTTTTTAATGGAAACTTTTCTTAGAATGGAATGGAGGGAGCAGCACAGTGGCACAGTGTTGGGGCCCTGGGTTCAATTCCACACGTGGAGTACTATCTGTGTGGAGTTTATATATTCTCCCTGTGTTCACTTGGGTACCTCCCACAGTCCAAAAACACGATGGCAGGAAATTTGTCCCCGGTGCACAGGGTATATTTTGCCTTGCGTCTGTTGCTTGCCAGGATAGGCTCCTGCTCTCCCACAACACTGAATTGCTAGAAGTGGTTAGAAAAGTGGAATGATGGAATTGTGGGATGAATGATGTCATTTTACTTCAGATGTTTTGCATTCAATTCATAACTGATACTTCCAAGATATCATTACACATCTTCCTACTGATTTAAAGGTAATCTAGTTACTGTGTTGAGTTACAAAAGTTTTATTTTGATTTAGGTGTCTACCTAGTTCAATAGAAATGACTGCTTCCTTTTTGGCTCTTGTTTACCAGTTTTTCTCCATTTTTCTTTGCTAATGAACTGACATTCCAAGGCATACTGTCCTATTTGATTAATAATAAAAGATCATATCGTATTTTTGGACAATTTGCAATATTTTCTACAATAATGTACTGTACGTATTACAAGCACAATAATTGGAATTGATTAATATTATTTGGATCATATAGAAACTTAAATACATTACAGTTTTTAATAAATACATTATTATCAAAGTATGAAAGACTATATTGCTATTAAGTTTAATGTAGTTATTTTGCTTGAGACTCTCTTCTGCTCAACCATTATGAATGTTTGTATAGTATCTCTTAACAAACACTTTTGTTGTTTCCTTTTATTAATCAAGAATGTCATATAGTTTCATTACAGGAGGTATTGCTTCAGATGCAACATGACCTGCTTGAAATAGCTTCTGATGGTCTCTGTTGTATCACTTGCAAAGAAAATTAACTGTCCTGTAGAATGGCAGTATGTTGCAGTCCAGATCCTGTAGAATGACTTCATCTTTTGTTTTTTGTCTCATAATTAATTAATTAGGTTTTTCAAATGCTTTATTAAACTATTTTCTTTCTTAAGAATTAGGAAAAAAATGTTTCAAACTTAAAAAAGCGTGATGAAGTTAGAAATCAACCTTTTAGCAGCTGCTGACTGAGAATTCCTCTGAATTAGGACTGCCTTTCCAGAAACTAGGGGAAATTAAGCAGCTGCACCTACACACGTCTAAGTGTTCGTTATCGGTGTGATTGATATATGGTCAATGTGAGGTGATGGCTGTGTGAGAAAGCCACAATCTTGGCTCATCTTGAGCCAGGATGGTTGATGGTTTATTGAGAGAACCTGTGTGAAAGAGATACAGCTGCTCTGGATGACCTATTAGTCCTCAGATGGAGTGAAATTCCACATGAGGGAACTGAGCTGGTAGGATAGGCCAATGTATAATTGGTCACTCTTCGGGGCTAATTTAGAGGCTTATAAGAACATCCAGGAGGATAAAAAGCATTTTAGATTTTGGTGTGGAAAGAAGGAGTGTAAGAGAGGGCTAGAGAAGAGGGTGTAATTGTAAAGAGATTAGCTGGCCTACAGACCTGTGGGTGTTAGAAAATGGTTTAAGTCCATACTGAGCACTGTCTCAGGGACAGACCGAGTGGTACAGTAGTTCTACTGGGAGGCTCGACGAGGATAAAATTAGGTGTGCTGGAACAGGGAGGGTCAATTTAATCAGTGCTTTGGGAGACTTTAGGTTCTGAAGAAGTATGGCATAGCTTGTCAATATTGCAGTGTTGCCTACTGTCATAGTTGAGACTGGAGTCCCAGCTGTAACCTGAATCCCCTAAATATTCAATGTTTTAAAGATCTCCACATTTGAATGGAAGCTGGCTGGTGTAGTGTCAAATATGCAAGTTCTGATTTGAAAAGTGCTGCCCTGGCTGAACAGAACCAGCTAGAACAGTTATTTAATCGTTAATAATCTGGTCCTCGGTGAAGAGGAACATTGAGTTCTCTGGTGCCTGCTGGTTAAGAGAAGTGGGACATCAGTGTGGGGTGCTCTAGTGCCAGGGGGATGCTGGAGGTTATCAGAAGCTTTGTATAACTGAGTGAAAGTTCTTGTAAAAAACACTAACTGCAGTTTTCAATGGAAGTGAGTAAACTCAAATTGAGAGGGAACAGGACCAACTTCTGAGGGGGTCAACACATTAGATTTAAGATTCTGAAGGAGAGACCAGTCAGACTGCAAATGTGATTTCTTGGCTTTCTGTGGCTGAGTATGCCAGGATCTTCCCATGCATTCTTATGTTTCTACAAAACTAAATCAGACCAGTCTTTCATCTTTATGTCTTCAGACATCTTTTTTTTAAAAAGGTGCATGGGAGCAAAATCAAATGAAACAGATGGCAGTATGCAATGAGTCTGTTTCCTGAAGTTGTGAGATTTCAGCATGAATCTGAGCAGGCAAGCACTTGAATTGTATGTTTAACAAACCTCTTCCACAATGTGTGTGTGGGAGAAACCTTATTCTACTGCATCAAAAATAACTAGGTGATGTAGTGAATTTTTGGTATATGAATAAATTACAAATCTGGTTTTAAAGGCTCTAATGGATAAATGTTGCCATATTTCATATTTTTGTAGTGTAGATACTAATACAGTTGTTTGTAGTAGTGATGCAGAATGAATTTGAATGACATACAATAGTTACTTCAAGACAATATCATGATGCCATAATTATATAATTAGCTCTCTGATTGCAGCTGTGATTACAACATAGCATGTTCTTAAGCATCTTGCTGTTGAATACTGACTTTTATGAAGTGTTTGGGAGGAGGTCAAACCCTAGTCTCATCTTCTTTCAGCTCTCCCACCTCTCGGTCATCACGGGAGTTCTGACAGCCTCGTCCTCACAGACAGGGTGTTGTTCTCTTGGCTGTCTAGCTGAACCATTACAGCCAGTTAATTCAAAACATGCCCCTACTGCAACTTAAATTAGGGATTAACTGAGCTTTTAAAGAAAATCACAAAAATATGAGGTTAAAGGTATTGGACTTTTTTTTTCACCCTAATGACCCATGAAGCTATGATATTTCCAAAACAAGGTTTTCTTCCTCTTTCTTTAAAGGGACTGTCACTGAATCGTGTGACAGTGTCCAGCGACAAAGTAATGAAGACACAGCCGTCTGAACGGGAGCTACAGTACATTTCACTGCAGAGTGAAGTCACGTGCATTTTTGATGTTCTTTCTTGTATAATCAAGTGCTAAAAAAGTGTTTGAATACCCATTAATTTTAATTTAATATTTAATACATTTCAGTGTATGATTACATCATTGGAGCAAGTGGGCTATATCTGTCAAACCCTTACCACCACACCACCAACAACTCGGTTAAATGGAAGCACCTCACCTGACATTTGACTTGGCCATTTTACAACTGATAGGTGGTTTATAAACTTTTTTTTTCTTTTTAAGAAGTGCATAAATTGGTGCAGCATAAAAATCTTTATTTAATGAGTTTTTGTCAGGTGAAGATGTATATTCTCTTTATTTGATGGATTTTTCAACAAAGGTTCGGGAGAGATGACTGCCACCAAGGTCTCTCTCATCCCAGCAGCCTTAACGTGTCATCGTCCTGGGAAAAAGAATCAGAGGGGTGAAACAGGCACCTGTGTCCCCAAGACTCCACAGAGACTTGGCTGGGATGTGCATTTTGAAATTTCAGAAATT